TGGCACACAACAATACCATTGGGCCAAGCGATTGTCAGAAAAATATAGGGCAGCCAGAACCATTTCCCCTCATCGTGTTCCTTTTGTACAAGGCAGGTTCTTGGAGGATGTGGACAGCCCCCTTTGTTTGGTCAAAGGAAAATGGCCAACATAATTAAAAGCTGGGTGAACTTGTGTCAGCATCTTGCTAAATAGGGCTCTCCACGAAAACCTTACTTCAATCTAATTAAGTGGCTCTTTTCTGTTTCTGTCTTCCTTCCCCTCCTCACCCCCAATTTACCAAAGGCCAAATTTGCTGTGGAAAGTGCCACAAGCCCATCCAAGATGGATGTTGTGATAGTGACAACAGAGCACCCAGTTGGTTCAGCTGCAACAATTAAAAAGGGAACACACACACACACATAATTTTGCCTGTAATATTAATGTTCAAGCTGACACCCGCAGTCCAAACCAATAACATGTACGGCTAAACTTCAGGTAATTGTTTGGTGGGTGATAAGGTCAGAATTATTTATGCATGAATGCATGAGTGACAATTCATTAATGCCGTTCCAATTTGGAAGACACATCAGAAAGGGCTAAAATGGCATTGTAGGAGGAGGGTTATGTGGGGAGGGGGACCATCTGGGATTTAAATGTTATCTGATTTTCATTAAAAAGTAAGGAATAGCAATAGAAGCATGATCAGAAGAGATTTTCTTTTAAAACCTCAAGGCACACGGAATAAAATAATCATCATCGTCTTTGAATGGTTAGGGCAAAATGCAGAGGAATGGTTTAGAATGAAAAAATAATAATAATTAAAGAAATGATTCAAAATTCAAGCCTAGAAATATGAATATATGGGCTGAAATCCCTATGGGTCCTGAGAAGATTAAAACTGTGTATTTAATACTGAGTCAAAGTTTAAAGGATTGGATGTGGCCATGACTAAAGACCTGAACTGCACAGGGTGCAGAAGAGCGGTGGCGTCACAATGGTGGGGGGGGGGCAGGGGTGGTGGTCGCCCCCAGGCACCATGTCGGGGGGGGGTGACAAGAAGGCACCCCATGGGGCTCGTGGTTGCGCAAGCAGCCATTGCGCAGCCGCATGTCGAGGATCCTCCGTTCGCTGCTGTAGCCGCGAGCAGAGGATCCAGGCGCCAGCGGCAAACCGCTATGTATAGTTCATGTGCAGCGGCGCACGCATGTGCTGTACATAATGATGGCGCACATGCGCTGTACATAGCAGTTTGCCGCTGGCGCCGCTCGAGCGCCGTACGGACAGCGGTGGGATCCCTCTGTTGCCACTACAACTGCGAACGGAGGATTCTCTGCTCATGGCTGCAGCCGCAAGCAGAGGATCCCAGTACTGTCCGTATGGCGCTGGAGCGGCGCCAACGGCAAACCGCTATGTACAGCGCATGTGTGGCATCGCTATGTAGGGTGCATGCATCTTACGTAGCGACGCCGCACATGCGCCCTACATAGGGACGCCCCGCCCCGGGTGTCACGACGCCTTTGTTTGCCCCTGCAGAAGAGAGATGGATTGACAGCCTTGGGGTTGGTGGTGGGAGGAGGCGAATGCATAGTATCATAGTGTTGGGAAGGTCCTGGTAGGTCACCCAGCACAACTTCCTGCTCAATGCAGGAAAACCAGAGTTAGCACCCCCAACAGGTGGCTGTCCAACGTCTACTATAAGACATAGATTCCACCACCCCTCTAGGCAGTGGAGGCTGGTCCATTCAGGGAGATGGAATGCTGCGTTAGCAAACTCAGTCTATCCCTCAGCCAGAGCCCCACATGCCTTAAAAAGAAAATGTGTATAAAATCCATGAATGCATGTTAATTGTGAGCTGGAAGTACAAAGTGTATGTGTGTAAGTTGTTGGCAGAGGAATAGCTGAAATGTTTTGACTGCACATGGAAACAGCACAACTATGCATCCCATTAGCATTTTCTTTGCACAGAAAATGTGTCATACAGTTCCTGTAACATAAAAATCCATTTAAAATATCAAATGGTTGTTGGGGTTTTTTTGCTTGCTTCTTTTTTTTTGCAAGAGACGAACTGAAAGCCAGTGTGGTGGAATTAATAACACAGGCACACACATGATTTTATTGCGGTCCATCGACCCAAAATACACAGTACAACAATAGTATATGGAAATATTAAGGTGTAGGATATATACTCAAGACACCTGGGTTCAAATCTCTGCAGAACTATGAGGCTCAAGCTTATGCATAGCATCTCAATAGGCTTGAAGAAAGAATGCCCAATGCCCAGGGCTGGCATCAAGGGTTGGCATGCCTGTGTATCTGCTGAGGACCCACTCCTCAGTGTGGACCACTGACAAGAGCTCTTTAGATCTGCTGCAATGAGGGGGAAGATTCACTGAGGGTGGGGTCACAGAGGGTCTCTTGTCAAAGGGCCCTCCCTAACTTGGAAGCAATACTGACCACACCTCTCCATCCTGCCCCCGGACCCTTGGTGCCTAGAAACACAGGAAGGGATGTAGGAAGTGGCCTCATACTGAATCAGAACACTGGGTCCGTCTAGCTCAATACAGTGGTACCTTGGGTTAAGTACTTAATTCGTTCCGGAGGTCCGTTCTTAACCTGAAATTGTTCTTAACCTGAAGGACCACTCTAACTAATGGGTCTTCCCGCTGCCGTCGCGCCGCCAGAGCATGATTTCTGTTCTCATCCTGAAGCAAAGTTCTTAACCCAAGGTACTATTTATGGGTAGTCTGTAACCTGAAGCGTATGTAACCTGAAGTGTATGTAACCTGAAGCATATGTAACCCAAGGTACCACTGTATTGCCTACTCTGACTGGCATTGATTCTCCATCTGTGCAACTTGTGCAACGGAGGGCAACCAAGATGATCAAGGATCTGGAAACTAAGCCTTATGAGGAGCTCTTGAAGGAGCTGGGTATGTTTAGCCTGGAAAAGAGGGGACTGAGATGAGTTATGATAGCCATCTTCAAATATCTCAAGGGCTCTCACATGGAAGAGGGAACAAGCTTGTTTTATCCTGCTCCGGATGGTAGGACTCAAACCAATGGCTTCAAGTTACAAGAAAGGAGATTCCAACTAAACATCTGGAAAAACTTTCTGACAGTAAGAGTTGTTTGACAGTGGAACGGTTTCCCTTGGGAGGTTGTGGACTCTTCTTCCTTGGAGGTTTTTAAGCAGAGATTGAATGTTCATCTGCCAGGGGTGTTTTAGTTGAGATTCCTGCATTGCAGGGGGCTGGACTAGATGACCCCTGGGGTCCCTTCTAACTTTAATTCTATGATTCTAGAGTTTCCGACAAGGAGTCTTTTTCAGCCCTGTCTGGAGACGCCAGGGAACGAATCTGGGACTTTCTGCATGCAAAACAGATGGTCTTCCACCCTTCCCGTCCCTTCCCTGAAATGTATCTCATCATTTGTAATCTAGTTGTACTTATGGATGGGCAAATATGTCAGTTATGTTCACTCTCAGTTTAATATTTCTCAAGTCTTACATTTACTTCTCCACATTTCGACACAAGTTTGTAATGTCTTTTTAAAAAGCCCTCATGAAAACTCACCAGCATTTTAGTGAGAATTTGTCCTAGTATACTGTCAGGCTTTGTGGAATCAGCTCCCTCCCACGGGGCAGCCCAGAATCAGAGAAACGATAAGAGTTCTTACCAAGCAATTTATTGAATAATTCACAGAGAACGATGAAGGAATGCAGCCTTCCCTAAAATGGTAGTGCTCTAACTGAGCTCCTCCCCACTCCCTTCCTAGCAACAGCACTTCCCCTTATGGCAGCCGCCAGGGGCTAATAGTCTCTGAGTCCTTTGCTCTCCCACTTTCAATGCACGCCGGGTTCTGGGAGACGGAGGGTCAGAAATGCTCTCCAGTGATAATCTATCAGCTGGCTGCTCTGTCTCTCTCTCCCCCTTCTCTTCTCCCAACACCTCCCAGCTCTTCTGTTCACCCGTCTCTGAGCTGTGATCTTCCTCAAACCACTGCTGTAATTCAGTACTGCCTTCCTCTTCTCTGGAAAGCTCAGGAAGAGGTTCCTCCTCAGTCTTGTCCCCCTCAGTTCAGTCCCTGACATGTACACATGTTCCCCTCTTTATTTTCAACTTTCTTGGGCACATGAAACTAACCACAATTACCTTGAATTTCTGCTTAACCCTCAAGAAAGAAGGGCATTTTTGCTGGCCAGGTTTAATTCAAATCCATCCAACCTCCTTTGGGGAAGGTTCTCGGGCAGGGTGGAAGGAGAAAGAACTTGCCCGCGTGAAGACCACCTGGTGGAAACCCTTACACATATGGTTCTTAATTGTAAACTATATGCTGATCTCCATCAGCAATTTCTAGATCAACTCTGTATCCCCAAATGGAAACCAGAGTCGGAGGTCATACATTTTCTATTACTGGGGAATGATCAGGAGCTCACCAAGTTAGTGGCTAAATATCTCTATTTGGTTTTTTGTCGTCGAAATACACTGCAGACGTCTGATCTTCCTGGAGACCTAGAGATGTGACGATAGACTGTTCTGCCTCCTTTCTTTTAGCAAATGTTTTGGGCCACTGGGGAAGTGGTAATTTTGCATTGATTTGTTTTGGATGTTTGTATGGGATGCCAATAAAAGGTTTGATGATGATGATATAAACATATCCCGCTAATCACCCCTAATAACTTGCATTTTTATGTCTTGCTACCACTCAGCAGAGATTGGGGTTTGGCAGGCCACTTCTTTAACATAACAGTAAGGGTGTTCCCCGCCCCTCATAACATGAGAACTCGTGGGCATTCAATGAAGCTGAATGTTGGAGGATTCAGGACAGAGAAAAGAAAAATAATTAAACTGTAGAAAGAGGATTGGACAAACTCATGGAGGATAAAGCTATCAACAGCTACTAGCCACAATAGCTGAGCTCTGCCTCCATGCAAAGTTTGGAGGCATGCAAATTGCAAAGGACAGCTGTGCTTCGGTTCACGTATCAGTTCAAGAAGTATGAATCGGGCAGTTTCTCCTTAAAATGCAAACAAAATCAAATTTGCCACGGAAGAAATGTAATAACATATGATCTCATCTACCTGGGAGGACATGCCGTGACACGGGTAGAGAATGGCTTTGTCATCGTCTTCTGCACCCTGGTCCAAACAGAAGCCACTGGCTTTGCTGTTGCGAACCTGAAATCAACATCAGGGTAGGAGGGAGGGAAAAAGAGAAATTTAACCAATATTGTGATGTTCTGATGGATGTCTTATATGATCCTAGCTCTGGGATGGGGAACTTCCAGGTGATGATGGATTCCAACACTCACCAACCCTGGCCAGAATAGGGTGATGGGAGTTGAAGTGCAACAAAATCTGGAACAGTGAATACTGCTTCATTTGAGCAAATGGGGTACTGGTCCACCAACCAATGTGTGCCTTCAGCCAGCTCTCCCACCTGCCTTCTCACTTAAAACCAATCCAGGGGCTGGGAATGCCTGTCATCTTCTTCTTCTTTGGTCTCAACACCCTCCTTCTATTCTAGAACAGAACAAGGAGGAGCATGGGGCTAGAACTACCATTAGTTGGCTCCACATCTCATGGGTTCTGGCTCCACCTACTGTTGAGCTCCTGGCCTTCTACCTTACCAGTCTCAGTGGTTACCAACCAACACTTATCTGGTGGTGTTGGCCATATAGGTTGGCCTCAGTGTAGGGGAATTCTCTAACCCAAAGCCTTAGTGGAGGACAGGGGGCAGGTCCTGGTTCGAGCACCTACATCTCCCAGCTGTCTTATATATTCTCACAAATCTCCACAAAAAGCTTGCAATACATTGAGAAGCAGAGTTTCAGGCAAGGGACATTCCTATCCCTGGCTGGGGATGTCAGGGGTTGAACCTAGAACCTTCTGAGGGCAAGACAGATGTTCTACCACTGAGCCACAGGCCTTCCCTGTTCTGGAGCAGCTTAAACTTGTTTTTAAGCAAAGTAAATAGGATGCTAACCACCAGGGAGTCTCTCTGAAGGAAGAAAAACACACTCATTCACTTCTCCTGACACCCCATTAATCCTTCTTTTGCGTATCAGTTAGGGGCTGCATAGCCAACTTGTTCTTCTGCGAAAGCAGACATGAATTGTCCTTACAGGCAGAACACACACATTCTGATGACTTGGACTAGACATTTATTTGTGGAGTACGACATGAAAGATGATGAATTAGGAATACACATCGTAAACAACCCAGTCCCAATCCCGCTCTGAATAACCCTGATGAGAAATCTGGATCCCATCTATTGGATGAAATCCATCACACTCCCTGATTGCCATCTAAAGATAAGCACACAGGTCCTGCTACAGAGGAATGTCAGAAGAGACTTGTTGGGTCAGACCAATGATTCATCTGGTCCAGCATCTTGCTTGCCATCATGGACAACCACATGCTTCTAGGAAGCCCACAAGCAGAGCTTAAAGGACACTTGCCTTCGATGTAGCGATGGGCACAAACTTGGAACTTGCTCCCACAAAGGGCAGGGGTGGCCACCGACTTGGATGGCTTTAAAAGAGAACTAGACACATTCATATTTAACTGTCTACTTATCACCACAGCGCTGAGAGACCCCTGTTCCCCCTCACATGGCTACAATTCCCAGAGTGGTTTTACAGTCAATCCCTCTTCTCAGGGAACTTTGGGAATTGTTGCTCTGGGAGTTGGCTAGAGGTTCTCTCAACAACCTTAATAAACTACGCTTCCCAGAAGGCTTTGTGAAGAAGCCACGGCTATTTAAAGTGGTATAATACTTCTTCAAATGTACAGTGCAGATGGGGTCTATGTTCAGCTATGGAGAGGTACCCTGGCATCAAGCAATAAGTGGCACCCGCCCTGTGGAACGTCCTCCCACCAGATGTCAAAGAGAAGAACAATTACCAGACTTTTAGAAGACATCTGAAGACAGCCCTGTTTAGGGAAGCTTTTAATGTTTACCAGACCACTGTATTTTAATACTTTGTTGGAAGCCTCCCAGAGTGGCTGGGGACACCCAACCAGATGAACGGGGTATAAATAAATTTATTATTATTATTATTATTATTATTATTATTATTATTATTATTAGTGCCTCTTCCAGGAAACTGGAAATCGTAGTTCTGTGGGAGAAACCAGGGTCTCCTAACCAGTTTCCTCACCTTTAAAAAACTTTTTCTGGGGAAAGCCATGGCTGTGAGCATCCTTGAAGCTTTCCATCCCCTTCTGCTCTGAGCCACAATATAAATATTGTCTGACAGCACAGCATGCCACAAGGCCACCCAACCTGCCTTCCCAAGCTGCTGCCAATTAAAGAATGCCAACTGTTAAGCGGTAGCAGAGTCAGTTTACGACAAGCGTGCTACCCAGGTATAAGGCGACGACAGGCATTTTACAACTCATCCTTTAAAAAAAAAGTGACTTCAGTTGGTAGGAAATATATTTTTACAACCCTTTCAATATGTTTTATATCCACCTCAACATATTTAGTTCCTTCAGCCTCTGGAGTCTCAGTCTGGAGACTGGAGATTGTCAAATAAGCCACAAAGCTGTGGGCCAGCAATGAGAAATTCATTGGTAATTTCTTCTGAAATCTTACTACCTGTGATATAGTCCAAACCAGTACATAGATTACATAGAATTTCATAGAGTTGGAAGGGGGCCACAAGGGTCATCTAATCTAACCCCCTGTGATGCAGGAATCTTTTAGCCAACATGGCGCTTGAACCCACAATCCTGAGATGAAGAGTCTCATGCTCTACTGACTGAACATCTCTGATCCAAATCTGACACAAGCTCATGAGCCTGCCTTAAGGAAACAATTTCAATCTCTGCCTTGCCACCCTGTTCCACCTGCAATATGGAATTTGAAATATTGTCCTACTTGCATCCCTGCTCAGCTTTTTAAACACTCTTTCCTCCCCTCCTGGGAGAGGTGATCCCTGGTTCTTTCTTATCAGATACTGCAAGGTTCTCAGGTAGGCCCCTTCAGGGGCAGAGGAAGGGGGGACGGTGGGGGCAGGCCACTCCGGGTGTCACCACTGAGGAGGGTGACAAAATAGTGGGTGGCGCTCACCACGGCAGCGTGCCCGAGCAACACATCTCTCCTTGGAGTGACGTGGTGGCTTGGGTGCCCACAGCATAGCTGTCAACCATCCCTTATTTGGCGGGAAAGTCCCTTATCCCAGCACCGTGTCCCACTGCTGTCCCTTATTGATGATGTCCCTTAAATTTCCCGGGTTTCAAAGGAAGCAGCTCCTCTACCTCCCTCCCTGCCAGCCAGGGAGGAGGGAGGCTCCAACTGTGTTGCTTGGCTGCGTTGCTCACCCAATAAGGAGTCTAAGAACGACTGGGGGGTGGAGCCTGCATGCCTTGTGCCGATCAAATCGACTGCGTTGCCTGGGGACTCACCTTTGCTCAGCGCTTCCCAGCGGAGAGGTGACGGTGGTTTCCCTTGCGACATCCCCTTTGCCGGGTTGCTGTGCTGTGGGAACCACCACTTGAGGCTTCATTTGGCTGCTGGCTGGGCGTTTTCCCTTTGGCTCAGAGGGGCTCAGAAGCTGAACATACCTGTGCTCTGAAAATCCTTTATTTTGGCTGCTGATCCCTTATTTTCAGATCTGTAAGTTGACAGCTATGGCCCACAGGCTCCACGCTGCCCCAAAAGGTCTGCCCTCCGCTTCCCCCTCAGCTGTAGGGCAGCTGTGTGGGAAGAGGCAGGCAGGCTCTTCGAAGGCCCTGCAGAACGTCCTGCCCAGGCTTGCCCTGCCCTGTGGGTGGCTGGCCCCGCCCCTGGGCACAAGGCACAAACACCGCCACAGGTGCCCAATCAGCTTGCTCCACCACTGGGCCCCTTAAGGACCTCTTTTGCCTATGAAGAGGCTTGGAGGAAGATACCCGAGAGCCTCACTTAGAGAAAGAGCCGGCAGCATTTTTCATACTCCGAAAAGAAGGATTGATTTCTAAACCACTCTGAAAATTATGAGAGGAACAGGATTCTTACGGGGAAACCCATGGCTATTTAAAGTGATGCAATGCAGATTTAAATGTTTAGTGCAGATGGGGGCTAACTTAGCAAACCATGTTATGCAACCCATTAACTTTAGTAGCCATTGGCGACTTGGTGGAACGCTCTGTCACAAGAGACTAGGGCCCTGCGGGACTTGACATCTTTCCACAGGGCCTGCAAGACAGAGCTGTTCCACCTGGCCTTTGGTTTGGACTCAGTCTGACCCTTATGTTTTCCTCCCCTTATGGTTTAGATCTATGGGCTACTATTAAAATGAGGCTGCATTTTAAATTATATTTTAACCTGTATTTTAAATTGGTTTTTTATTTATTTTATTTTTTATTGTAATTTTACTGGTGTTAGCCAACCTGAGCCTGGCTCTGGCCAGGGAGGGTGGGGTATAAATAAAAAATTATTATTATTATTATTATTATGCATGAGACTAGTCAGGAGGAAGGGGACACACATACAGGCACCTGCCCAAATCGAGGCCTGGCTGAGAGCCCGGAAAGGGCGAAACCTCCAGATCTTAGATGAGCTTCACTGCTGAAACAACATCTGTCTTTGGTTCACATTCCAGTACAAAAGCCCTCCTGAACTGGGGAAATGGAACAGTAATGCAGAGATGTGACAGACATTTAGCACCATACATTACCTCCCCGTAAGTGATGGTATTGTTGTAAATTCTCATCTCAGGGTAGACATTCTCCAAGTACCACTTAAAACTTCGGCACTGAAGACGTTGCCGCAGCGCAATCCTTTCGGAAACATCCCCGAAGTCAACTCCGGGGTTCTGCAAAACAAAAAAACCCACAGGCCAACAGGAGCGTATAAACACAGAAATCCTATTAGGCCATTTTCCAGTCAATTTCATTATTTGAAAAATGCTCATTATTCATTTTGTTTACAAGCGGATTTCTCCCTGTCTCTCTCTCTCAAACTAACCCCCCAACCCTCTCTTGCCGTGTAAGTAGCTACTCAGTCTACAACTGTCCTTGAGAACAGGGAATACATATTAATGAACCTTTGGTAACAGAAAAGAAGATGATCTGAAGTGGGGGTGGAGAAGGAGAATGTCAAAGTTTGGCTACCACAGCATTCAATTTACTGTCTGCAGTCAAGAAACAAGCAGGCAAAGCTGTACAGAATTAAGTGAAGGAAAGATGCCAGCTTGTTAAAAGAATGCCTTGTAAACAGATTTGTACTGAGTTCAAAATACGCATGTATATACCTGCATATGTATGCTCCAGTGAGCATATGGTGTTCCCATGTGAGATCATGCGCCCTCGATTCATTTCAGGGGAGAGAGCCACTCTTTTTGACCTGTATGCATCGTGATAACCCCTCCATTGCAATGAATGGGAAAAATCCTGGATGAGGGGCCCCAGGGCTGGATCTACATTGCTTTGTAAAAACGCTATTAAAGGCTATTAAAAAAGTTATACTGTATAGCTCTCAATGCAATTTCCCATTGTCGACGGGTTGCTCTGCAGCACCCTCTGGTGTCACGTTTTTATAATGCATTTTTAACGTCATAACCGACCAGTGTAGATTCGCCCCAGGTGTGTCTTGGAGGTTCTGCACATTGAAAGAATCAAGAAGCATCACAAAGGGGAAAGGAGATACTTGGGAGGGAGGGTTTCAGCCCTTCCTAGTCCAATATCTCCATTTGCCCCATCATTTATTTGTTGTTGTTGTTGTTGTTGTTGTTGTTGTTGTGCCAGTAATAATTAATTAATTAAATTTGTATACTGCCCTACACCCTACGCCTGTAGATCTCAGGTTGCTTCACAACATAAAATCACAATATAAAAAAACAGAAAATACATAATATTATGTCCTCTATCATAAGGTGTTTGGGCAGGTTACAGCAATTTAAAAAGTTCAGTATTAAAAATAGTGTAAAACAAATTACAGTCAAAGCAATAGAGTGGAGCCTGAAAAAATACATCTGTCTCAGGTGTGACAGGCAGGGGAGTCCCACAACCTAGGAGCTGCAACAGAGAATGTCCTTTTCTGGGCCACCCCTCACAAACTTCTGAGGGAGGTGAAACTATCAAGAGGTAGTGTGGAAGGAAAGACCACCCTCTGGTCTTTCACATATCTGAGGCCAAAGTATTGCTCACTCTTTTTCCAAATCACTCATAACCTCCATGCCTCAATTCACCCCCTGCTTGAGGACCAATGGATAGTTGAACAATTTTAAAGTATTTGAGACTTGTTTTTCACTTGTGTAGGGGTTTCTTTAGGTTGTTATTGATGGTGTTTGTCATAATTTGTTTCAGTATCTCTATTGTGCCTTATGTCACTTTGAATAATTTCCACTAATAATAATGTGCTTTAATTTTGTAGTTTTATGCTGTGAACTGCCCTTCGGATGAAGGACTACACAATCAATCAATCAATCAATCAATCAATCTGTCTCCCATTCCCTCATATTTTTCAGTTTTCTTTTCCAGCTGATCCTCAACACATTTGGCTACTGAACATAGTAATAAAGTAACTACGCTAGTAGGACTGCAAGAAGTTCTGTAAGAAGGACTTTGTGAAATATTGCAAGAAAGACTTTGAAAAGAATTATTAGTTAAGGACAATTAAAAGTAATAGAGAAATTAAGAAATGCAGAACAAGTGATAAAAAACGGAAAATCTTCAGAGGTTGTTGACAGAAGTCTAAAAATATTGTATAAGATAAGAAGTTTTGTTAAATGATTGTTGGAATTTATATGCTAAAAAGTTAATATGTGTGTGTGTGTGTGTGTGTGTGTGCGCAAGCATAGTAATAAAGACTTGGGGTATTTTTTTGTACTTTAGGGTCCCCCAAGTACGCTGATACAGAACCTGCCTCTTGTTTTTCACTGCCCCCATTTTGGCTATTTTTTGTCACCGCTCAGCACCTGAATTCAATATTAGAGGGAGTGATAGACGGATCAATAGACAATTTAAAAGCCACTGTGAATCCACCGTTGCAAAGCAGTTGTTTTCCAAAGGAAAGGAAATGGTGGTTATTTTTGTGATGTTTAAAAACCATTTTCTTTTCTGGAAGGCTGGTTTATGTCTGATAAAGCAATGTGCCTTTATTTTTCTTTCCCTAAAGGCCTGCTTTATAGCTCATTGGAGAAAATGATCATATGAAAGTAATGGAAGAGAAGCAAAGACCGAAGGTTTTCATCACACTTAAGTGCTTGCCGCAAGGGCCATTTGTAAACATCTCAAGCCTAGTTTTGGTGCAAACCTTGCCTTGGCACCTGTATCCTGAATCAGACAGGACAACGGAGAGAAAATGATTTTGCCATCACAAGAGAAAGAAGACTCACGATAAAAAAATTGTTATGGGTAAACAGATTATATTTATTAAAAGATAACAGACTAGGGGATTGGCAAATTAACCAAGTAATACACACCTGGGCAGGTGAATAGCAATAAAGGGAATGGGGATTCAATCTGTCCCATCTACTGGGCAAGTTTACAGACACACACTGTAAATAGCAAGATTTGTTTAGATTCCTGCCATTGGTATGACTCAGACATGCACAGCGTGGCTCCATTGGCCAACCTTCACCCCAATGTGCATGACCAACCCAACCCAAATTGCCTCATATATTAACACAGGCCTTACTTAAACCTGTTCACCTGCCCAGACAAAATGTCAATAGAGCCAGATTAAGGAAAGCCACTTCCGCCCTTTGGAGGAGGTGGAGTTGGGGGCTTCACGGCCCTACCATGTGCACGGCGGCTGGAGGCCAGCCCTGCGCGATTGGGGGGATTCCCGGCTGCGCCGTCCCCTGGCCAGCCAATTGGCTGGATCTGGGGGCATGGCCTGCCCTATTTAAGGCAGGACGCAGCAGGGGATCTCCCTCTTTCCCCGCCTGCCAGCTGTTCCTGCTTTTCCCACCCTACCGCCCTATAAGGTTTTATTTTCCTTGACCTTGCTATGACCTTGGTTGGTTGCCGTTGAGGGGCCTGGTAGGAATTTTTCCAGTTGGCAAATTGGCACCAGCCACTTGGTTTTTGCCTACCTCATAGCAAATCGTCATAACTTTCTTGGTATTGGTGGTTAGGCATTGGTATTGTTCTGTGGATGGAAGAGGGGAGGAAGCGCCATCACCTGCCCTGCATATTGAAGGGTAGTCCGATAAAGGATTCCAGGGGGCGTGGCCCTGTCTGAAGCCTAGGGAGGTGAGGGCCTAAGGCACGCCCCCTATCAGTGACCCCGAGGGAGTTCCTAGTTGATGGGCATCAGCAGGACTCCCCTACTGGTGGTTAACCCTTCCTAGACTTCAAGCGGATGGGCTGAAGTTGGATATAGTCTGTTAGAACCAATGCCTAAGCCAATACTGCTCATCACCTGTAACCAATAAAGTCGTGGCCTTATTTAGCCCATTAACCTGCATTGTGTCATGTGTCATTATTTCCACTGGGGGGGGGACTCGCCACGCAATGGCCCTCCGGTCACACAGGTGACGCCCAACAGTGTGGAGAAGACAAAAAAGAGGAGACCCAGAGCCAACCAATGACTCCCTCAAAGACTCCTACTCAGTCCCCAAAGAAAGGGCCACTAGCAATGCCCACACTGCAAAGGGAATGGTGGTGGTTGCCAACAGAAGAAGAGAGAAGAGTGTGGGGCAGAGCTAGCTTCAGTCTCTGCCTATTGGGCAACACTGCCCACATGCTCAACCACATTCCTTCCCTGGCTAAACCATCTCTCCCCTTCTCCTGGGGAAGGAGGGTGTGGTAAATCATCACTCCCTTTATGGGGGGATGGCATTCTGAGCATGTGCAGAGTTCCTTTTCTTCATAAGAGCCACTTCACATTTTACCTGACACTCCAGATACACCAAATGCTCCACACTGCCGCAGGTTTCCTTGGACTGTACGTCAATCAGCCCCAGCCAGCAAGGCCAATGATCAGGGAGGCTGCAGTCCAGCAACATGGGAACCAGAGCTTGGAAAATTCATTTTTAAAAGGGAGCTAGTTCTAGTTCCACATGGCCCAAGTGATCCTCAGCAAGGGGGCAGCGGCTATGGCAATTAAAGGGCAACAGATGCAAGGATGTTGTGCAGAGAAGACTGAATATTCTCAGGTCCCTCATCAAACTACAACTTCCAGGATGTGTGTGTGTGTGTGTGTGTGTGTGTGTGTGTGTGTACCAACAACCGTCAACAACTCTACAATGTCTCTTTGAGAGCCTTCTCAGCCTGCCCTTACCGTCATTGGTATGTTCCACGCCATGTAAACATGCGACTTGAAGTCGTCCATCCAGACTTCAGCAGCACGCAGTGCGTTGCGCTTTGCATAGTAGTCAATGTCGTTGTTGTAAGGTTTCTTGGTGCGCTCGATGTGGGCGACTCGGGAGCAAGGCAGCACCTCCATGCTTCCACCACACTGCCAGACCTGTGATGATGCAAAGAACAAAGGGAGGGAGGAATGAACTAAGGTGGAAAGACGGGAGCTGGCGAAGCGGCGTGGTAACCACCCTTGGCAACCACCCCAGTTCATATCTGATTCCCAGCAATATCCCTTCTCACCAGACTACATGCCTCATTAGTTCTCCTTTGCACCTCGAGTGATTTTGCCTGGCTGGATTGTACCCTTGAACTCTGATAATACAGGCAAGCCTGATGATGATGATGATGATAATAATAATAGTAATAATAATAATAATAGTAATAATAATAGTAATACTATATTTATACCCTGCCTATCTGGGGCTGGGTTTCCCCAGCCACTCTGGGTGGCTCCCAACAGAATATTAAAAACATGATAAAACATCAGACATTAAAAACTTCCCTAAACAGTGCTACCTTCAGGTGTCTTCTAAAAGTCAGATAGTTGTTTATTTCTTTGACATCTGGTGGGAGGGCATTCCACAGGGCGGGCGCCACCACCGAGAAGGCCCTGCATGGGGGGTTGTGTTCTGGGTCATAGTGCGCTTGCATGAAATCGCATATAATTGAAAGTTCTGTCCCCACCCCTTTGAGTGATGTCTTTTATGACATTTCCGGGTCACTTCTGGGTTCGATCCTGTGCGCGCGATTGCACACATATCAGTTGTGCCTAAAACGGAGATTGCCTGTAAATCTTGCTTGTCTGGATGGAGGATAGAGAGGGGTTTCTGAATGTGTGTAGGAACTAACCTGGTCTACAAAGGAAAAACTCATTGCTTTACCAACTTTCACCCTTGGCTGGTGGTGGCAAGTGGCTCCCAGGAGCTGAAAAGTGTTCCCTTGCCCTGTCTCACCGTATATGAAATGAGAGGCAGTGTGACGAAAGTAGTTAAGAGGGATAGTCTTTTGCAAGCTGGGTTCAATTCCACACTCCACACAACGTTTCCTGGTTGTGTTCTGCAAAGCAGGTTGTGGGCACATAACTGCAGCATCCTCGGGATGCATCCTTTCATGCTCTTGCCAACTGTGGGAAGCCAAGTCAGGAGGACCAAATACAGCCCCAAAGACCTTTCAAACTGGCACTCAGAACAACGGTAGAGTGTATGCTGAAATTGTATCCTTAAAATGTCTGCTCTAAAGGCAAAACGGGTCACCATTTCAGAAATGTAAGGGGAAACTGTCTCCTAATAAGAAGTTAATCAAGTGTTCAATCGATCCGTCAGCTGAGTGATTTAAATCTTTGAACAAGGCTGCTCTTAAGTCCTCATAAACTGGGCAAACAAGTTATTAGTGGAGTAAATCCTCAGGCACATTTCCCCCTTCATGGACAGACTTGCTCTTCATACAGAACATGGCCAGGGCTGTCTTAAGCATATGAGGCGCCGGGGTGCAAAGATCCACCCCCCCAGGTTGCCCAGTCCCAGGCGTGCAGGAGGGCGGAGCCGGCCGGCTGCCTCAGCGTCTCGCTGGCTCGGTTGCCCCCGAACTCACGATGCAGAGCTGCCTGCAGCAGAAGAGCCCTCTGTGGTGCTCTGACCGATGGACGGGCTCTTCCCTGGGCTCAACTCTCGGGCCCTGAACTCTCGGCCTGGTGCCCTTGAGAGCCCGACGCCTGGGTGCCCCACACCCCTAGCACGTATGGGTAAGAGGGCCCTGAACATGGCACTAGCATCCTTCAGCTACAGCAGAGCACAATGTGGAATGGCAGAGCTGCAAAAGCTTTTTTTTCTATTTAACTTTTTTATTTGTATTTAACATTTGTAATGCTGATTACATAGTAAGGGTGAGGAGTCTGAATGGGTAATTTGGCACATCAATGGGCACATTTTGACAGGCAAGCAGAAGTATGACCAGCAGAAAAAAATCATTTTAAATAATAATTTCATACAGAAAGACGACATTTCAAAGCATCCAAAGAGAATCTGTGCATAACAATAACTTGTAGTATTTCCTGACTAACTGTGGATACAGCCCACTTCTGATCCACCGGGATCTGTCAGGCCCACCCGAGTTAGAAATAACAACAACAACTTGTTTAATTTCTATACCTCTTAATATCTTTAAAATGTCTTTAAGCGGTGTACAAAAAACTGAAGCAACAGCAGGCAACTTAAACAAAATATTATAAAGACACACAGTTACATATAAACATGTTACACTAACACAAAGGTACTAATATTTATAAATCAATGTCAATTCATTTTCCTTCTGACACACACTCCCTCTCAGCCTCTGGTCTCTTACTCAGGGTCCATACAAACTCTTAGTTCACCTACCAAATCTCACAACAGTAATGAGTTCATGGAAGCAGCAGACATCAGCCTTAACCCACAGCTTTCCAAACTTTTCATGTTGGTGACACACTTTTTCGACATGCATCATTCAGTTTTAGCAGCAAACCGGAGGTTAAACTAGCCCCCTTCCAGCCTAGGAGTGCAGGGAGTGTTTGCACAACACACCTACACACTGCAGCCAACACAGCATTTCACCAGGTCCCAAACTCTCCCCCTGCCAGAAACACATATCTCATTTACCAGCAAGTTCTGCACTGTGACCAGCAACCCCCATCTCCCCCTGCATCCTTCACATCTTTGGTGACAAAGAAAAACTATTTCACAAATGGCCGAACAAAATGCTACACTGCTTTTTCAAATTTATTTTGCTAAACGATATTTATTTCCCCATTGCCATCCCCTAGCAGTTGCATTCTAAATCACCAGCTCCGCAAATTTGCATTTGATTAACGAAAGACATATTGGAGGTGGTGGTGGGGACATAAATCTGGACAGATGTAGGTCCAGAATTTCTGCACAAAAGGAATGAGCATCGGGGTGCAGAAAGAAATGGGTTCGTTTTAATAAGCTGAAAGAAAAATGTCAAAAAATAAATAAATGTCAGTGCATTGGCCATGCTCCGGGTTCCATTACAAACTTCAGAGGAGCTGATCCAAGTTTAAATGGAGAGCTTGCTAGTGTCAGGGACCAGAAGTCAGATCACTGTCTGATGGGGGTAAGAATTTGGAACGTGAAAGGGCAGGGAACATAGGAACAGCCCCAGAAGCGCTCTTATCAGATGAACCTCCAGGACCAGTGCCCTACCCCATGGGTGTAGCCAGGATTTATGTTGGGGAGGGGGTTAGGACACCCAACTCTCATCATCCTCTGTTTGGCTCTGTCTAGCAGATTTTGGAATGAAATGTCTCAACAACAGTTGTTTAAAATTACTTTCTTTTGACTCCAAGTGCTCAGGAAAAATCTGTCAAAATCTTTCCACAATTTCTACTTTTAGTTAAGTATTTTTATTTATTTACTTGATTTTTTTGGGGGGGGGCAGCTGCCACCCAGTCCATGGCCCTACCCACAATTACAGAAGCAGATTACTGGAGAAGACTGTCACCCTTTAAGTCAACTTGAAGCACAGGTGATGTTAATAATCAGGCTGTACCCGGTGCTGCTGCTACAAAAGGGCTCAGTCATCTTATTTATTATTTCATTAAATTTATATACTGCCTGATTGTAACAAAACAAAACAAAACAAAACAAAACAAAACAAAACAAACAACAACAACAACTCCACATGGCTTACAAAAAGATAAAACAATCAAATCAAGAAAGCACATACATATATACCTGAGCCTATGATGGAGGGGTTCACAGCATTAACACCACAAGAGGGCTTTGCTTTCCCCCATAGCTACAGCCTTGGATTCAAACAGAAATCAAACATTGCTCTGTCTCTCTCAGTTCCCAGCTTGCTGCTCTGTTTCTAGTTCACATCACTCCAACTCTCTGCTTTCAACTCTGGCTTTGTCTTTGCAACTACCCGTGAGTTGGGGGAGGCAGCTGTACCCATTTGTCATCTTGCACAGAGCCCATTCCTTTGTTCCCTTAATGATCAATTACCTCACCAGGAAGCTGTCCTGGCTGTTCCAATACTGAGAAAGGGGCCCAGGTGTTAGGAGGGTCTTGGCCATACCTCCTACCCCCCAACTCATAACAATATGTAGCTAGGTGCAGTAATGTCTTTCTTTATTGTAGCAAGGAAAAGCTAGGAACTGCTACAAGGGGGGAGGTTCCCCCTTTTTTAAAGTGTGTGCGCATATATGTGTCCTTACTAGAAGAAGAAAGTGAGGTAGTAACTACAAGGAGCCTCTTCAAGCACAGCTGCCTGTAGCAGCTGTTGAAATGGAGAAGTCAGTACAGGCACATTGAGCCTTCATTACCCTTTCTTCATTAAGACAATAGCATGCAGTTTATTTCTTATTTACAAATTAAGGACCATAGCTGATTTTATAAATATCCTGCCTATTTTAATTCTGTTTGCTGCAGTTCATGTTCACGTACTACTTCAAATGTTATATAAGGCAGATTTATTTCCCTCCTAAGATGGATGGTTATGCAATATGTTGAAACTGAAAAAGCACTAAAGCACTGTGTAAAAGGAAATGGTCCGACTCGTCTATAAATGCAAGAGACAAAATTGTTGTTTACTGAAGATAAATTCTCAGCAGACACCTGGCTTTGGTGGAGAGAGAAAGAAAATATGACTGCCATAGGGTGGAGAATGTTTTTCTTGTCGGACAAAGTGAGTGTTGCTTAGCAGTGGGCACAGATGTGCTCAATGATGCGATGTCTGTAGCCATTGATGTTTCTCCCCTGCTTTGCCCCATCTGCTGTCCTCCATTCAGGGCAAATATATAGATTGGTTGATGATGGGTTACAAGAATCCACCATGAGTTATGATCAATAAGGCCTGGAAAGGAAGCTTTTACTATATAAAACAGTGGGCAGAGAGATCTGAACCATTGATCTGGTCCCCAGTTGGTTTTTCTTTCCTGGGGCAAAATGTCTTCTGTCGTGCAGGGTATTTGATTTGTTTTAAATATGGACAGTGCACTCCCCAGTTCAGAAGTCTCAGAGCAGAGAACAATAAAGGCCATGAAACAGTGGCAGTACAGTATTTTTTCATTTTTAAAGCTAAACAAAC